ATATATATTTATATATTTACCTGTGCACAGTATTGGCTAGCAAATCATTGTGCTTTAGTCTGTAGTCAACCGGCACCTTCTCGTAGTTGACTGTCAGATTGCCAGCCTCGATGCTGCGCTTGTACTCCTCTGGAGGCTGGGCGCGGAATTCCCGCGAGAATACATCCAAAATTCCTTCGCCCACCCAGCGGCCCTTTGTGAATGTGGTGAAGGTAAAAGAGTACGGGTAAACCTTTCGCAAGCCTTCAAATAAAACTATGACGCAATCCACAATCCATAAAGATGTGTAATTTAAATCTTACCATTTTCAATGTAATAAGAAGTCTCATCATATCGCTCTTCACTGAAGCCGGGACGGGTCAGTTTCAAATCCTTTGTTTCCAATTTCGGCTTCTTTGGTTCTGTGGCCTCTGTTTCATCGGAAGCCTTTCGCTTTTCGGGCAGCTGCTCCAGTGAGGCCTCAGCAATTGTGGCGAGCTTAAACGGAAATGAATGATGGTTTATATTTAACTAACGATTTTCTATTTAAAAGCGCAGCCAAAGAAGAAATGCAGGATCAAGGCGCTTGCATGACACACTAAGACGCTAGGCATGTGAGAGCGAAGCAAGAAATGGGAATAAAACTCTTTTAACGGCAGGAAAAGTAATAGAGGGTTGTAACAAACCCAAATTGTCATCATAAAACAGTGGTCTGCATTCGTATCTTAGAGGAAGGCGGACACAATCACGTTTGCAGTACCCAGGGGGGACGTTCCGCGGGCGCAGAGGACTCTGCAGGGGAAGCGAGTAAAAACTGCATTCAAAACAAAGAAGAAGCTAGAATAATAAAACTCTTCGCCGTTGAGAACACCAATACTTGCGCACATTTGACATTCTCTATTTTAATGTCGAGACACATTCCTTATTTCAATAGCACTAACACAGGGAGCAGTGCACGTAGACGTGCATACATCAGACACAAACCCACATACATCACGGAGATTACATACACATTACATACCTACACACATACACACATAGCTACAGACATGCATGCATAGGTATTGTGGAAACTTTAAATGCAAGTGACACAATAGGCGCGCATAATGGAAGACAAAAACATTTAGAGCAATTTACTTTTAAGGAGCATAGCGATACCTACTTAAAAACAAGCCATAGCAGAGGGACACAAATGCACGACTCAAGGATACCCTGTTGGGTTTGCCTTAAATGCGTTTAAATTTCAATTGCGACACCTGCAAGTGAACGACTAACAGATACTCTTTAGCTGGGCTACATTTCATTTCAAAAATCAGTTAACGATACCCGGTCGAAGGTGCACAACTGGAAGTTCCATGTCTGATGCCATAAACAACCAGCACCGTGATTCACAGGTGCACAGGGTATGAACAGGAGGCAACACTGATAATTGCGGAAGCGTCAGGTTGGCCAACTTGACAAGGAGGCGCTGCTCGTCAGAGCAAACAAGTAGGAAAAACGACACGAAGCGTCGAAAGCACCCTTCAACAAAATAGCAAAAAGGAAAAGCAAATGAGAAATAATTATACCAAATCCGCGGTTAAAATATGAAGGTAAAGCGAGAAACAGCTTAGACAACCAACCAACCAWCTAGCAGGCCGGTCGAAGTACGGACAAACGAAGGTAAGCCAACTAAAATGTTTGCTGCGGTTAAGACAAAGCCAAGTGTACGGGGATTATTTAGTGGAGGTTAGCATAAGCCACATAATAAGCGGCCCTCGGCAGGTATAATGCTGTCCTGTGCCAGTGCGAAGCTACACGTGATTAATATTGATAGAGAGCGGTCTGAAATGTGCCAACCGCTTCAAAAGCCTCCCACGGCCATAAGTTATTCAAAACGGATTGATGGGCTTTGCGACCATTTTACAAATTTAAATCCGCGCTAGAATGCACATAAATATGCCAGTAGGAATGCGGAATGTCAGTGAACAATGTGTGTATAGATGAATGGACCGCCGCGTTTGAGCTTTGAAGCACATCATACAAACATAGAGATGCATTGAAATAACATCATAATAGAGACCATTACAAAAGGGCGCCGTTGTAATTAGTATTTCCTTCTCTCCACATTGACAATGACCCTCGAGCTGGCTCTGATGTTACTTGTTGCTTGTCTCTCAAGTTGTATGCTTTTACTATGGTTAACCGTCCTACCCAGCTCCACTTCAAATAAAGTGAAGTATATCATGACATAGCGGCCTAATTATGAGCTTCTTCAAAATTTAAGTTAACTTAATTTAACTTTAAAGCTGACAGGTACATGGACTTGACATTTTTAAAATCCAGATTCATAAAATAATTGCATTGGGCAGTATCCGAATTCTCCCTAAATACTGTATTTTCCTATATTGGGACTTTTCCTTAAAAAAAATAAAATAAAATCTTTATAGGGTATATCCCCAACTATAACTATATAATAATATTCAGATATCGCGATATATGGATTTTAAAACAAATAGTATTTTTTATCGCAATTTACTTTACTCAAATATATAATCTATTAAGTCAATAAAGTTAAATTTCGATCAAATTAATGGAAATGGAAGCATATATCAATTGATTGACCTATTCCAAAAATTACCGAGTTTCCAATGTTTATAACTATAATTATAAAACCGAAAGCTAACTAAAAGAAATAAACTAATTTGCGCTTACTTGGCTGCCGCAATCTTCACTCGCTTCGTAGGTCCACACACCATCGGTAGATTTGATCTCCTGAGACTTGATAGCAATAGGGGCAACAGATTCAGCGTCTGATTGAGCGGCTAATTCAGCTTCATTCGTAGAAGCAACGCCGGCAGTGTGTAAGTTGGCGCTAAACAGAAAAATGTTTTCCACATCAACAGAGGCATCGCCGTGCTGGGTTTGCACATGGCGCAGAGTCTTGGGCAATGTCATTGTTTGCCAACACAAAAATGTGTTTTTTGATTTCTTAACTTTGTGTTGTGCGTTTAACAAGCGCCTCGAAATGAACAAATTAATGCACTGAAAACAAAAACAAAACCATCAACACGTGTGCGCCTGCAAAACGAATGCATGAACTGAAGTAATGTTAGGGTATTTATGAAACACTATGTTAGACACCATGCATTGATCACTTGCCAGGCGAAATGTATTATCAGCGTAACGCAAATACTTCATGAAGTCCGTAAAATATAATTTTGCTCTTATAAAATACACAACAAACGAGCGCGACCTAACTAGTTCGATTATTTTTGTTGCACGCGCCATTTGACTAATCGAACCAGCGCAATTTGGTTCATTTGCTCATTCAGTTCAATTTGAGCACTTTGTAAACAAACAATGTATGTGGGGTATATCAATTCTGTAATTCGTTTAATTATGATAACAACGAGTCTAAAAATAACTAAAATTAATTAAAGCATAAGTAAAATACTTACATATAATAAATATCTTTCTGAGTAATAGAATTAAACTTTTTAAATATTTTGGAATATTTGAAATTTAACTTGCTGCTCTGAGTATGCATGCAAATTTTGCGAAACACACCTTATTGTAGGCATATGAACATATATCATCTTTATATAAACATACTTATTTCTATATATGTATGTATATTTATATATGAGCCCCCGCACACAATATTGTTTGTAAACACGCAGTAGAATAGCTGGGTAGGTTTTACAGTTTATATAGTTTTTTTTCGTTTGATGAGGAAGCGTGATGTCGTCATTTCTAGCTTTTTGTCCAGGCGAAAAGTCAATTTCCACTACATACATACATAAATCTAACACACAAACACACATACACTTGGAATAAAAAATGTAATCGGTGAGTGCGCACACCTACAAAATATCGTGCTGATTTAATCACTTTCTTCGTCGGCAGCAGCAAATGCCAACTTTTACTCTCATATACACGCACACCCCCACACACACACACACGCACGCATACCCCCACCCTTCTGGTTAGCCAAGACCAAGAGCCTTATGGCCAGTGGCCATTAAATGTTGCCCTAAATAAGGGGCAAGCCTTTTTTTGGTCGCCTTAGCCTGAGTTGTGGGTTTACAGAAGGATGTTGTATGTAGTTTGTTTCGTGACCGAGTGCTTTTCAAGGAGAACGTTCTTTTAACACTAGGACAGAGAGAAAAAGAGACAGAGAGCCACCAAGAGAACGAGAGGGGAACTGTTTTTTGGAGAGTGCAGGTGTGTTAAACTAGTCACGCAGTCGGACATGCAATGGTCGCGCTCCTAGTTGGGCTATTTTACTCCATATATACACGATAGTTTTATATTTTCGGCCACAATCTAGGTGGACATATACCCCGTCTCTTGTTTCGATTACATCAGAGCATCGCGAAAATTAATATTCCAAAGTTATGAGCAAAAAAAATGCCAAACGTGAATCGTTAAACGCAAAGCGTAAATCGTTTTCTTATAGTTCAAAACTGGAAAACTTGCTAAACCACAACAATGAATGGAGGTAAACAAGAAATGAGCTATATGCGCACCTTTAACCTGTTTAATCAAAAGGAATTTTAACAAAGATTTCAATGTCAACCTTAACGAAGGTCAACCCACTCTGACCCTCCGGCCAGTTCCGAAACGACAATAAAAATAATTGCAATATAATTACTATGCATGAATGTAGAGCAATATAACCCCAACTTATATCCAGAGTTGAGCTGAACTGAGTCTCGCTATATAAACAAAAAATTAAATAAAACAAGCCAAGAAGTGAGCTGGACATGCACAGCTATTTGCTCGACAAACATCGATTTGGTAAAAAATATTATAATTGAATTAAAGCAGTTAATTTGTTCATATTATTCACTTTGTACTAAGAAAAACTTTGGATTTAACGAAATATTCCATTTCGCAATCTGAAGTAAATACATATTTAATAAAAAAAAAAACAATAATAATAACTGAACCAAATTGTATATATTATATTTTATGAGAAATAATTCAGGTATTAAAATATTAAATATATGTATACATAAAATAGTAAATATCATATATAAGATAAAAGAAATTTGTATCTTTTATGGCAGATAAACGGGATCTTTCAGTATATACATATGGCTTATATGTATATTCAACGGCTGTTTAATGTTGTGAAGGATACGCATAAGAAGATATAAAAACTTAAAAAAATTAAAAGGCAATTCAATGATATCTGTGTAGATTGTTTTGTAAATGCTTTATGAGGTCGGCACCCTTTCGCATTTGGTCCCTTTCCAATGGGTTCCCAGTATAAATAGATTCCAATCAGCTTTAGCATTAGCTTTAGCTTTAGAATATATTATAAACAATATTATTATTTAATAAAACAACAAAATATTTGCAATACTATATTAAATATGTTCTATATAGCATTCTTACAAAGATCTTCCGTCACGCTAGAGCGACATTAAATGAGCATAGAAAATCCCAATTTATAGAAATATCTGTCTACCGCAAAGTATATTTATATAATATATCCACCATATACATTGTACATATCTATTTGTTTATGTAGTAAGCATGTTTAAACATCTCGTAGAATATCCCGCACGTAAATGACTTTGCCCTGTGCAACTAAATCAAGAGGAATTTAATTTTTTTGGGTCTAAGCCAAAAAAAATTTTCTTTTGTTTCACGTAACAATATGAAAGTTTCATCAAAATTCAACATTGATATGTATGTGTCCCTCAAGCATATATACATAGCTATATACCTATATGTGTATGTATTTATAATGAGTCAATAGGTAGTCACATAACAGCACGTGTACCTGTTTTTTTTT